AATTGTGAATTTTTAAGATAATATTTTATATTCAGTTTTAATAATTTATTTTAGATTAATTTATTAAGAAATATTTTTATATTATATTTTTGTATTTTATGTCATTATATTTTTACAAATTAAAATACAATTGTAATATTAAAAAAATGTAATATTGTTTATTTAATAATGATAAAATGAATAAATTAATAAAATATTGAAGATAATAAAGACTTATTTTTAATAAACATATATAACAAAATTTTTTTGTAGTAAATAAATTATATTAAATATAGCAATGAATAGATATGATGATACCTTTGTAGCATGTGTTGCAGCAAGAGGATTATAGCTTTCAAGATCAGCTTCAACAAGTATATAAAGTTTGTACTCTGATTGTAATAAATTTCCATTACGATTATTTATATGTAAAGGAAAAAATGTTTTGCCATACTGATACGTTAACCAACTTGAGATGTCAACTTTTTGCTGATAAAAATAGCAATTAACTAAATGATTAATTATATTTAAACTCCAAAAATTTATTTAAATTATAATGCTTGATGCATACTTGAGGAAATATAGTGCATAATCTCATATCACCATAATACCATAATAATTCTTCTAATCTAGCATCAGTTTTATTCACACATAGACAAGAAGTCATAAATTCGTCATTTTCATAATCATTCATAGTAGATTTTGATTCTTAAAATAAATACAATATATTAAGTATGAAAATCTTTTAATATGTTGTTCAAATTATATTATATATATATATATGTACTATTAATTAATTTAATAAGTGCTCAAATATTAAAAATAAATGTTAAGTGCTTAAATGTTAAAATAATATATAATTTATAAAATAGATGTGTTTCATTTTAAAATTTATATTATAAAATAAATATTATAAATAAAATAAAATATAATACAAAATAGATAACTAATAATAGTTTTGTTAAACTTATTATGTATATTAATTTTTTAACATACGTAATTATTAATATTTTAATGTTACATATACAAAAATAATATTTGAATATAAATTAAATAATATTTGAAGACAAATAATACAAAGGGGTAAATATATATGTATGTACAATATAAATATTATTAGAATAATATAACAAAATTTTATTGGTTTTAAACAATATATTAGCTATATTAGCTATATTATAATAATAATATAATTACATATGTGTGTATAATATTAAGTATATAATAAACTTATAAAATCAATAAAAAGAAGTAAATGATATTCATACATAAATTTTATTTCATGTATATACATGTATATAAATACAATATTAAACTACCTTTTATATAATTAAAAAAAATGAAAGTAACAAATAATTACTACTATAATTACTACTATAATAAAATAAATAGTGTGTATATATAAAGGTTCTGATTTGTTTAAATTATACAAAAATAAATAAATAAAACAACAGAAACAACATTTTAAAAAAATATAAATTGTATTAATAAAACCATAATAAATATTATTTGTGTATATAAAACTTACAAAAAATAATTATATATAATTATAATTATATGTAATTTAAACTAAATTAAAACTAATATCTTAATGATATTAATATTTCTGACTAACTTACTAATAAAATTTTTGTATTTTTTATTTTTCTTTAAAAGAATTACAAATAATAGA